TCCATTTCCCGCCCTCTTTCCCCCCTCCTTTGCCTACCTCCACCTACCCCCCATGCCCCTTTCCCTCTGGCTATCACCACACTATTGTCTGTGTCTATGTGTTATGTACATATGTTTTTTGGCTAATCCCTTCACCTCCCCTCATCAGACAGCTGTTAGTCTATTCCTTGTATCCATGCCTCTGTCTCTATTTTGTTCATCAGTTTATTTTGTTCATTAGATTCTACATATAAGCAAGATCATATGGTATTTGTCGTTCTCTGACTGGCTTATTTCAAAGAAGTTCTTTTGGTACTGTACCAATAATCAGTGGTCTGGAATTCAGTGTGGTATTGCCTTTACCTAATCTTTCCACACATCTAAGATATGCATGTTGAAAACTGCCAGCATTTTTATGTGAATGCTTTGTCCTTATTGCGAGGAGGTGAGCCAGAATCCAAATATTTTGATTGTGTAGATTCAGATATCATATTAGCAGACTGCTTCTGATCAAAGTTATAACCTAGTGTTTTTCAGAGATTATGTGCTTCTTAAGGTGAAGGTAACCTAGTTTATAATGCTTTACGGAGAGATCAAGAGTACAAATTCTGATTTCCAGAATTTTTTGTTTTTTACATTATAATATAATATAGATACAAGAGATTTGTTACTTATGTTGTATACATATTTTAGTATTTTTTTAACTGTTTTTATTTTTAGATTTAATGTTCCACATGATGATAGTTTTAAATGTAAGGAATCTGGAATTAAACATCAATATCATGTGATGGCTCCAACTCTAAATTACCACACAAGTCCTTGGACCTGGTCAAAATGTAGTCAGAAATATATCACTGAATTTCTAGAGTAAGTCTGGTTTTATGTTACTTTAGTTAATTATTGCACATTTATTAGATTATAAAATTTGAAATTTGTATATTTTAAATGGATTCAATTTATGTTTAATTTTTCATTGTTTAAATTCAAACTTACATTCATTGTACAAATGGATGTTTAGAAACATGGAAAGTTTTGTTTGTATTTCATTCTTAAATTTTTTTGAGGGGTTACAGTTCAGATCTAGCATTCCCCTTGCCATTTTCCACTTTCCTAAGTCCTTTAAATAAGTGATGTACTCTCATAACAATTTGCAAGGTAGATATTATCACCCTCAATTTACAGATGAGGAGACTTGGGGCTCAGGGAGATGAAATAGCAGTCCACAGCCATGCATCCTGGGAAGTGGTGGAACCGAAAGCCAACTCCCAAACCTACCATTCTGTCTCTGTGTTGTACTCCTTTCTTAAACAACCCCTTTGAGATGGAGACGGCATAATTCTGTTTGAAATTTTTTTGATTCATTGTTCAGATATATAAATGTGTTTTCTCAAATGATTTGAAAGCTTATTTCTATTTTTACATTTTGGCTTTTGGGGCATTAGATATAAGGCATTACTATTGGATGGCAGAATAGACCAAAAGTATCATGTGATCAACATATGAATGTTCGTTTCTAAATTATATTCTGATGGGTTTGTCTTTTAATATATATATTATTTCAGAGAAGAAAAGAGAGGGAGAGAGAAACATCAGTGATGAGGGAGATTCATTGATCGGCTGCCTCCCACATGCCCCCTACTGGGGATTGAGCCCACAACCCTGGCATGTTCCCTGACTGGGAATTGAACCAGTCCCTCCTGGTTCATAGATGCTCAACCACTGAGCCATGCTGGTCGAGATCTTTTTTTTTAAATTGTATCTTAAAGGAACTAGTGGGTCTCACATGAGAATATACACATCAGAAGTCTTTGTAAACTCTGAGATTTTCTTACTGATTTTGATTTGAGCTGGGCTTTAAATTATGAAAAAATACTGATTTTCTCTTTGGAAATAAAGAACTACAAAAAATGTGATGCAGAATCATATACTGACATGCATATGTGTATATTCACAATATTTCATCTTCTGTCATTGGTACAGCACTGGTCATGGGGACTGCCTCCTTGACAAACCAAATGGGAGAATATATGATCTGTCCTCACAACTTCCTGGATTAATGTATGATGTAAACAAGCAGTGTGAACTTATGTTTGGTCCTGGATCACAAGTGTGTCCCTATTTGGTAAGAAAAATTTTGGCTTTTTGTTTGAAAACTACCATAAAGTTGTAGTTAGAATATATTTCAAAGTGTATATTCTCTTTAACAGAAGGTAAATTAAATATATCTTAAACGTTTTTAAGTGTTAGAAAAATCTGGTGTTTGTCAGAAAGGGGCTTAAAAAAAGAGAAACTAAAATTCATTGAGTCAGTATTATATGCCAGGTACTGTATTAGGTGCTTAAAAGTTATCTCTAATTTTCACAAAATCCTATGAAGTATTCTCATTTAGAAGCAAAGCCACAGAGAAGTTTTGAAAATTAACAGGATTTTAAATATTTACTTTTAAGTGATATTATTTTTTCGGACATGGGAAGAAAATTATGTGAGACATTTTTGTATTTTGATGAGTTGTATTAAAGGACCCAGGAATATAATAGACTGCATTTTAATTTATGTAGATTTGAATAAAAAGAAATGAAATTTGGAGCCTGTTGTTTAGTTTTCATTAAACTATTTATAAGTTGTTTTTAGGATTTTTCATAACGTAGATACAGTACTAGGTTGTGAGAATCATTGGACCAGAAATCCAACAATATTCATTCATTTAAGTAAAGATAATGATCTGCTACATAATATCTGCCATAGAATAAATGCTTATTGAATGTTGAATGAATGAATGAAAGGTACTTAACAGTGAGTGCAGGGACATACAAGGCATACTCCACATAGTACATATTCTTCCTAAAGTCTTAAATTCATAGTCATGATTTTCATAAGCCTTTAAACATCCACTATGGAAGGGGGAGATTTACCTTAATTTCTTACATAGAAGCCACATTTCTTTCTTCCTACCTGATTTAGACACTAAACAAACTTTGAATTTAAAATCAGAAAAAGAAAGAAATTATCATGTGTATAGCTCCTGTGGGCCTCCATAGATTTTTGTTTCTTGTGAAAACTTCAGAACCCTTTGTTCAAAAGTTGAAAGTCTGCATTATATTCACAAAATAGGAAACCAGTATACATTATACAGTATTTCTATGCACATTATTCATACATTCCTCCATTGGATCAAAGAAGGCTTTTGGAAACTCTCTGTGAATAACATTTAACAACAAAAAGTCCTTTAGAAAAATATCTTGCAAAGAGAGAAAAATGCCTCACATAATTTTGAATATTTCCATTCCAATTCATCTCTCCCAATGCATGATGAAAATCTAAAAGTTAAAAAAAGGACACTAAATGCTGCAATTTTATGTATTTAGAGGAAAATCAAGAGCTAAAACTTAGTAAAGATTTTTTTAAAAGTATTTTTTTTTGCCTCTTGCACGCCCCCTACTGGGGATTGAGCCCACAACTGGAATCAAACCATGACCTCCAGGTTCATAGGTCAATGCTCAACTACTGAGCCACCCCGGCTGGGCAGTAAAGATTTTTTGCTGATTGTTTCCAGCTGTGACCATGAAACCAGGAATTACATAAGATCAGTTTGTGAACTGATGCATTATATTGACTTGATTGGGTAATTGTGGCTGCATTTTCACTCTTGCTTGCCTGCTCCGTTTCCTCTGCAGAAACAGTGCAGGCGTCTCTGGTGCACCAGTGCAGAAGGAGTCCACAAGGGCTGCCGTACTCAGCACATGCCACTGGCAGACGGAACCAACTGTGGTCCTGGGATGGTAGGTTTTCTCCAAGGGTGAGTCTTGTATCGAGAGATTATCGGAGGATGTGATTGCTCCGCATTTCAGCACTGCTCGTCATTTGCTGTCAACTTTTGTTCTGGTAGTTGATTTCATATTATTGCCATGGTTTTTTATGTAGAATAGTGTCTAGTGAATTAAAATTATAATTCCCCCTGTTTTTCAAGATCTAGCAGATGAATATTAAAATTACATATAGTTATCAGAAAGATAAATTCATGTGTACATATAGTTATCTAAGTATATTATTGTTTTGCTATTAAAGATGAGTATAGACACGAAGGCCCTAATATTTCAGCAAATCTCCAAATTTAAGGATGTTAGGATTTCATACATTTTTCTCCCATAAAATTCAGTTAAGTATAACTGAAAGTTTTAAGTGTCTCCTTTGGATTTTGTGGGTTCTAATTATATTGAAATACATTATATTCCGACAATAAACTGCCTGCCATACGGCATCTTTACCATTCTAACATCAGTCAATCTGCCAGGGTGATGTCGAGTGACAGGGCTCACCATGATCATGAAACGTGTTGTATATGAAGATGAATTCAGATTGTACTTGGAGCTCCAGCATGAAGTCAAATATTGTCTGTACTCAACAAATTGTCGTCAGCCTCCTCTGAGCTACCCCATGCAAAAGGAACACTTCTTGGCAGTGGGTTAGTTAGTGCTGCCAAAGCTCGCATTATGCAAAAGTAAGAACTTCAAATTCAGTTCAGTTCACTAGCTGACCTTGTGTCTTTACCACCTGCTGCTTTAGTGAAATGTGTGTACCAGCTACTGCCCTTTTCTTGCGTCACTTTTCCTCCCGAAGGCATGTGTTTCCCATAAATGCCACTTAGATTACAAATGAATTATTAGAGTTTAATTTGAAGCTTCAGCAATTTTTATAGTACCTGAAGTACTCATTGAAGTGGTTTTGCATTCAAATTATCTTAGGATCAAAATTCTACTGGAATTCTTCAGTTTATAGATTTAAACTGGAACTAAATTTTAAAATTTGAATTTTATCTAAAATTTATATTTTGAGAGTAAGAACTATTAAAAAGACGATTTTTCTCACTTTTTGTGACGAGTATTCATAATTAGCTTTTTCTTTTGAGGAGGAAGTGGCATTTGTTGAGTTACTGATTATCTGAACGTGAGTTGAGAAAAAGACATCTCTGAAGTTCGAATACGGGGCTGTTGATGTTAGAAAGAAGACTTACTCCAAGATGTTCACGTGATTCAAATCTAGTGCTGTAACAAATGTTGAAGTTACTATATCCTGTTGACCTTCATGTTTGATTTCATGTGGCTAAAATAGTAATTGATATATTTATAAATATCAAGAGATACATTATGGATAACTAATTACTGAACAGTCTAAATCCAGTTCAGGCATAAACATTTTTTTTAATTGAGAAATATGAGTCACATGCACTTATCTTAAATGTACAGCTTGGAAGGTTTTATCAATGTAGATGCATACATAGCCAACATCCCCACTAAAAAAGTTCAGTCTTAACTCTTTGCAGACAATTTCCCTTCTCTCCAGAACCAGCTCCTGTTCATGTTTCTATCTATCTCCATAGATTAGTTTGTTTGTTCTTGATTTAATACAAATGAAACTAATGTACCCTTTGGGTAGAGATTGGGTCAAGCTTCTTTTGTTCAACGTAATGTTTTTGAGTTTCATCCATATTATTGTATGCATCAGAACTTCATTCCTTTATGTTGCAATATAATTCAATGTACAAGTGCACCATAATTTGTTTACCCAGTCTCCAGTTGATGGACATTTGGGTCATTTCCAGCTTTTGGCTGTTAGGAATAAAGCTGCTCTGGGCATCCTCATACAGGTTTTCTTATGGGCATATATTTACATTTCTCTTGGGTAAATAGCCAGAGTAAAACTTCTGGGTCGTAGGGCAGGTGTGTGTTTGACTTCATAGGAGAGTGCCAAACGATTTTCCAAAATATGTGTACCATTTTAGAACCCATAAGCAATGTCTGGACGTTCTAGTTGCTCTGCATTCTTTGCCAATTTTTCCCCCCATTGGCC